CTTTAAACCTCATTTATTATTTGGAATAAACCAACTATCCAATAAAAATATACATATCATGCAGTTTTAAGAATGTTGTCAGATATCTGTCAAGACTCTTGCCCTTTTGGAGAAATAACTATGACTATACTTTTTACAGGAGATTTTAGACCATGCCTTCCAGTTGTTCCTGGTGGTTCTTGATCATAAATTATCAACTCTACTTTGAAGTATTCTACTTACTGGCCTCAGATTCAAGTCCTACAGTTAGAGGAAAATGTTCATCTGATACATACTGATATGACTCTGAAAGTATATACAATAGAAAAAGAATATGCTGATTATATTTTCTAAATTGGAACTGCAACTGAGCCTTTCCCTGTTCTCAATTATATTATCCTTTGTCTAACAATACTTCTTTCAGATAATATTATACAAGGTTTGATAGAGGAAATATACCTACTTAGTCTTTTGACCTTTTCTTCAAATATATCAATTGAGGTTTTAGTCAAACAAGTTATTCTAGCAGCATGAAATATTGATATAGACTTTATTAACAATGAACTCCTTATTCACCAAACCCGTGATTCAGCTATCAAGACCTATTATAGTGCTGACACTATTTCTGATAAGAAATAAACAATGTATTCTTCCAAGTATCTTAATATATTATAATCTTCTAGAGTCCTACCATATTCATTATATTTAAAAGTCAGTATACCAGTTATGCTTTTACAAAATTTGAATTCATGTCAAGGTCTCCAAGTTTGTAATAGAATAAGGCTTAAGATCATAGGTCTTTTATAAAATCTGATATGTAGTAAGTTTTATTAATTCATGAAATTTTTTCTAATTGAGTATATTATTATTAAAATTATACTGATATGATTTTGAATTTTGTACTTTACAGGTATTTTAATGACAGGTACAAAGGCTGGAACTAAAGTCTTAATTTCTCAAATTCACATCTCTTCTCATGCATTAAAAGATATTTCAGTAAATCTTATTTGACTTTAGTTTCTAATTTAGTTAGTATATGTAATGACTATAAATAACGCACAGGGACAGTCATTAGGACATGTTGGGATTAGTTTATGTAAGGAGGTATTTAAACATGGGCAACTGTATGTTGCATTATCAACTTGAAGAGCCACAAGTCATAAAAGGATCAAAGTGTTAATACCTAATTCAGTATATAAAGAAGAAAAGTTGTGCAACAATGTTGTGTGTTCTGAGGTTTTTCATATATAAGTTTTCCTATTCTTTTTTTTTTAATATCTCTGTCTTTTCTACTCTATGATTTGATTGTTCTCTTTTATATTCTGTTTACTTTTATCTCCTACCTTTCTTATTTGTTCTCACTGAATTTGTCTATTCATCTTTTCATATGATCTTATTTTTTCTTTTACTTTGATTATTTTTTAAGACTTTAATCTTTCTTATTAATGGTTTTTTTTTTCAATATATATCTACCATTAAATTTTGTGGGTAAATTGCTATTTATCAAATATAGTAATTACTTAACTTGAAAACTACACTCCATTTCGGCCCCGTGTGGTACCCACAGGAGTGACTACTTGTGTTTACATAAAACAGCAAAGCAAGCCAAATCCGCCCCAACTTCCCAACTTTGAAAACCCCTAGTCGGAGGGTCAGCTCCGTATGCCAAGAAATCAGTGCGTTGCTCGTTGAAGCACCCCTGTTCGTTGTCCCTCTGCTGTCGACTAGATTGGCATGAAGGGGGGAGGTTAGTGATAAAAGTTAACGATGGCCTTGGAGCTCACATTCAGGAACCCCCCCTTCGAAGGTCTGAAGGGGTTTAGAAAATCCACAGAAGTGTGCTACAATAGCTGAATCAAGACTGCAATTTTATATAGCCAAAATGAAAGAGTTAAAGAGAGAAAGGTAATAGAGAAAACTAATTCAGAATTTATCCTTCCGTTGCCCTCAACACTTCTGCCTGCATGCCTTCATCAAATACTGTCACCTCCAAAAATACTCTGATAGTGCCGAAAAAAGGGAAAAACATCAAGAAAGTCAACCGTGGCGAACCCCCCCCCTTCAGAGGTCATTTGGTAAACCCCCCTTGAACCCCCTTCTGACCCCCCCCCTTGATCCTGCCAAGGCCTTCGTCGCAGCATTGGCTGTGGGCGACAGACCGAGGGTAAAGGCGAGGGATACACAATCTACCGGAGTGGCAAACATGAAATTTGGTAAGGCTGCTCGTTGTGCCCCTTCTGGTACCCCCAACCGGTGCTTTGATATGATAGCTAGATACTTGTGCTGGGTGTTTCCCAAAGTCTCCGGAACGCGAGTTACGGGTCCGGTGCTCAAGATACTGTGAGTTCCCGCAAATTTTGGTGGGGTGAAGACATCGGCTGTGCCTCGAGTAAACCGCTTGTTCATTTCCCATTCCGGAGGAGGCTTTAAAAAAGTGTCGAGCAGTTGTAGGACGATCTGGAATCGGGAGCCGCAGGGGACATTTGCTGCTACCGATAACAGGGTCTATTCGGATGCGCTAGGCGCCGAGGGACAGCCTCGACCCGAACGGGACATTTGCTGCCCCGCCCGGAGCTAGCCAGAAGGCCTAAGTGGCTAAGCAAAAATTCTGAGTGGATTGGTCGATATACCCGCAGAAGCATAGCTCGAGCGATAGCCAGTACTGTAGGGCCATTCTACTGTACAGTATTCTGCAAGTTGCGTAATCGATCACAGGCTACACGAGCAGGGATAACGTTTGGCCAAGGCCGGTTACACCTCGAGAAATAGGGAATATTCCCACATTGATATTATATCAACGAATGGAAAATAATTTCATAAGCGATGTCCCATTGCTTCCCCGTTCCACCCTCACGCCTTCTGGGAATATCGATACCATTTCTGCTCCACCGGTTGTCTTTGTTTCGACTAGCCTCTTTTTCTGGCAGGGGATGGCGTTGTCGTGATGCCATCTTTATCCACTAAACTCTGCCAAGGGGTACTCGAAGAGTTTAAGGTTGAACGGCGCGGCAAATCTAAAATCAGCCTCTAAGCCCTTTTTACCGAGCCAACCCAGCTGAACGGCAATGGGAACACGCACACACCAACCACACCCACACGCAATGAAGCCGCACACACACCCGAAAAAAAAAAATGAGATGATTACAGGAATCTCTTGCATCCGAGTGGGGGAATATTGGATGAGAAACATGTCTTTGGTTGACGGCGGCATGTGTGTTAACAGGATGCGGTTTCAGGCACTGTAAGTTACCAGCCGTGTTAACTTGCGCGGGGGTACCGAGTCATCATGCGTACGAGTACAGTACATCTCGTGGGAGGTTGATATGTGTACGATATTTAGCAGATTGTGCATGGGATGATTTATCTTGGCTTGTACCATAGGGCGGGTTGATTGTGAACATAAAGTTGATCAACTGTACTGCCTCCTTTTTATATGGTTGGATTCTTAGTGAGTAACTATTAAAGAGATAATCAGATATTAAGGAAAGAATGCAAAGTGAAAAGAAAAAAGGAAAAATTTGATAAAAGATAGGAGAGAAGATTGATCGATTACAGATAGGAGGAAAAGGTGTATAGAAAGGCATAGGGGCAACGGATCGTGGGCGGTGAGAATAGCAAATAGAGAACGACAAGAACCCGAGAAATCTCATGCAGCATGTCAAAAATATGATGGGTGAAGGGACTTGAATTTTGGAGGTAGAAATTGGTCTAAGCACTACTGGATTGATATCCATCAGGATGGCCCTAGGCCTTGCGAGAACACTTGAGATTGGTGGAGTGAATTGTCTTTATTAGGAACCGACTTGAGCACATAGGGAATAGCGCGGTGAAGACTGACTAAGCAATAGTCGCATCCCGCCATAGTACCACGCCCCCTTTCTTCGCGATAGCGGGTACTCCAGCATAGTCATCCCGAAAAAAACCCGACGCCATGGTTAAGCAATCGTGACGAATTTGAAGCAAAGAGTATGTTCGAGGGGAGGACAGAGAGGTGGCAACAGGTTAATACCTTCCAGTGATCGGGGAGAGTAGTAAGACATGGCACAGGCTGCGGCAGAGAGGCCAGGTTTAACTAAAGCTGGGAAAATTGGGAAAGCTTGTTTCGGTGGTTCTTGTAGCTGAAACAGAGACCACGGGGACCAAATTCGCTACAATACCTACCCCTATCCATATAGCTCCCACCGCTTAAATCTGTACCGCTCACAGTATCGCTATGGCTATAGCTGGGTGTATGTGAAATTGCCTTGTTGGTCATCAGTTTTCTGTTATAGCGGATTGGATTTGCAATACCGGTACTGTAAGGGTTCGGTGTCTGAGAAATCCGTTCGAATTAGGGTGCGAATTTTCATTGGAAACTCTAAAATCTGGGATATTTTTTTTGTAATAGTGGCCTTTTCACTACGGGGGGGTTCACCATTGCGGGGCGTGACTGTGCTCAAACCATCGTGCCTATATGGTTTCGAAGCGGTACCGGTACTATGATAGTCATGTTCCATTCAGCCGCCCCTATTTCCTCCATCATAAAATATTACTCGCTTTGGATTTGAGGCAAAGAATCCTCTGGTTAAACTCGGGTAGGCAGTCGGGCCGATTTGGCAGGGGCGACACGGATGGGTAATGAAGGTGTTGGCAAGGAAATATTGGCACCGGGGTTTTGAGATCTATTTTTTCCTACTTTCCACCGCTAGTTTTTGATGGTGGGTATGGTGTTGAAGGATCCGTATACTTGTTGAAGAGCTTTTCATAATGTGATTTTGTGAAATATAGGGTTTTTCTATTTTTGGATCCCTTCGTTTTGAGATCATCATTGCATTTTTATTGTTGAGTTCCGGTGTCAACCAGACATATCACTTCAGAGCAAAGTAGAGTTTTGCTGTGAACCTCTATAATCGGGGTCAAAAGAAGGTATGGCATAGAAACCAGACGCGTCCTAAGTGTGTCGGACAACCACGGTACTGTACCCGTCGTCATAGCCTGGGGAGGTGATTAGCCGAGCAACCCATGACACGATATCTTACCTTGCTAGAATTAAGGGTCTATTTGGATATGACCGCTCCTCTGTTTTGCCATACAAAATGACCATTAATCAACGGAAGGGTAACAGTATTTGTATGTGAAAACAGAACAGAAGGGTCGCAGCCAAACAAGTCCTAAGTCATACTGGCCGTTTCATGAATTTCAGTAGTTTCTACTTCCTCTAACAAGCAAACAATCAAGGTATATGTGCCCTGATCCCTTTAATAATAACCATAGGGAGAAAAGGGATTGCGAAACTCTTGGCCTGTACAAGCACCGTGAGGAAATTAAGAAGAGAAGACAAACTACCCTAGCGCAAGTATTTTGTAACGTATAGTACTGTATCTTGTTCCACCGAAGTGCTATAGTAACGTCGTAACACAGAAAATAACCAACCCGTGGACGCATTGCCCTTTCCTATAATACAAGCAGTCATGGACGGCAAAACTTTACTCGATCTATTCAGCAGGAAATGTCAGAAATGATAAGGTAAACGGAGATCCGTGTAGGTGCGGTAACAAACATAGAGGGAAGGGCGTTAGATAAACTTTCACCTACATGAGATCGAAGTGCTCCGGGTTCTATGACCGAAAATTTTTTCTACCTTCACAAAGACCGCGGGGAGAATACCGGTTCAGGTCTTCTCGGTCCCAGTGATCCCCCCACGTGTGGCGCTCTGCCATCTTCTCTTGTGATGCCGTTCTGGCTGTGGGGGAAGGTATTGGCGCGAGATTGGCAGAGTAGGTATTGGAAAAGTTATTGTATATTAAGGCGGGACTGGGGGGGATAGGAATCTCAGTTGCTGGGATAGCGCTTGAGTCCTCCCCAGAAATAACAGCTCCCGGGGGAGAGTTTGGAAGGGTAACTCCGAGAGCCCTCTGAGCACGATTGTAAAACTGAGTATGCATATGTAAAATATGTCTAAGGGGATGGGTGGGTATACCTTGGCGGAGGATGGAATCGAGGAGGACACCCAACGGCGAAATCGTGGGCACCGGAGGATAGGTATCGTTGCGACAAGTAAAGTCAGGGCAGCGATAAGAAGCCCGACTAGCGCTACCGGACTTTTGACATCGCTATCATCCTCCCCTTGGTTTTGGGTGTATTCGCGTTTGTTGAATTGCGATAACAGGCCTTTGATGGGAAATGGCGGAACGGCGGGCATGAGTGATTGGTATGATGCTATGTCGAGAGATATACCTATACTGTGCAGTCCTTGGTGTGTAGAATATAGTACTCGAGCATATATTTAGCAGAGGGAGATACCAGTCAGTTCTCGGGATAGTCTGCTCGGGTACGATAGGGACTGTGAAAAACTTGGTAGAATTGGGAGAACAGTGGCTGGCTTGTATCAATGGAAGGAAGGGAGACCAAACAAAGTGAGGGGGTAGGGCAAGGTCATTAGTAGTAGCACCCGGAGTAGGATAACTAGAGCGCAAATCAATAGCTAAATACCACACTACCGGTAGTCTAACCATCCAGAACCGGCATGGGATGGGCTGGTATGGGATGGGAAAAAGCAGGAAACTGGATATACCGGAGGTATTGATAAACGTGATTAGTACTGAGGACAAAATCAGAACCACACGGTAAAATACGATAGATATCCCACAAGCAAAATCGTAGTTGGAGGCGCAACACTGTGTGCCAAGACATTAGTCCACGGCCCCCCTTTCATTCAGCAAACCCCCAGCGGTGTGTCATCAATTACTATGTATGGAGGTATAAGTCCTAAATTTTGTCCGTTTTACTAGCAAGAGGCGGGTGCTCAGTGACGTGGGTATCGGCGATGAATTGGGTAACTTTCAGCGAAAGTTGTCTACCTGTACAGGTAATCTGCAATGAAATTTTCCTAAATTCACGTCAAGTACCCAGGTGTAACTTAAGGGTATTTCGGCGGGCAGCAACACGGCCAGCAATCGCCACTTCTCCCTGCGGAAATGCACCCGATCTCGTGCTGCCACCAGAAAAATTCACACCAGCCACCATTCGAATTTTCTGATCTAGTTTAGTTGACATGCAGATTCCACATACGTTTTTAGAAGTGCACCCGATTTACTTCAACCTTCTAGTACTGTACTTGCACATCTGTTACCCAAGCACCCCTTGCTAGTATTATATGGTACACAAAACTTAGGAGCTGTACTAGTACTGTACCTCCGTAGTGACGAACATGAAGGTTGCGTCTAGCTGTTCCCAGGTTTAGAAAATGCTGAAATCGCAAAACCCACGTCGCAACCTGCAACTGTACTCGAGTGGTTATCCCAAGTTCTCGTAATCCACCAACGCCAGCACCTGTGGTTACTGGTTGACAATATTCCTGGTGTTTCTGGTTGTGCAGCATTTGCGGTGTGTCTGGTTGACGCAGTGTCAGTTCAATGGTGTGATTGGTCAGCGTCAGTGGTGTGCCGGTTGACGCCTATAATAACTAGGAGCGGGGGTGTGTGCGGTACTTCTTCCGCCCAGTGCTATGTGAATTGGGAACAGCAATTCAACGAAGGTTGCTCAAATAAAATATTAAAAACACCGAAAAGAAAGCGTTGGTACCTGGGCTTTGGGATCTATTTTTCCCTATTTCCTATTCACATTTTTTGATGGTGATAGTGCCATTGTTAAAGTGCCTGTATACTTGTTGGAGCTTTTCATAATGCAATTTTGTAAATACAGGGTTTTTCCATATCTTGGAAACTTTTGTTTTGATCTCATTATTGCATTTTGATCATGGAGTTTTGTTGTCAACCAGACATGCCGTTCCAGAGAAAAATAGTGTTTTGCGGCGAACCTCTGCGGGTGCGAGCCGGGAGCGCCCGGGGTTTGGTGAGGCTGCCCGTTGGACCCCTCCTGTTGCCCCCTTACCGGTAGGCCGATGGCTAGCCGGCTGTAGGTGTAGGGAGACGGAATTGGGGGCCCTGGGGGACATTTACTGCTCCTACGTCTATCTAGACATGCTAGGTGTCAAGGGAGAACCCAGAGCCGAGCGGGAGCTTCGCTGCTTGGGCGGATCTATCAGGCCAATCTAGGTGGCTGAGTAAAAGTCTTGGTTAAATGATTAGTCAGCATATTCTAGAAGCACATCTGGGGGGATACAGTAACTCGCAAGCCAAGTTCATAGCACAGGTGGAATGATCGAGCACAATGTCAGACAAGCGGAGAAAATGGTGCGGAGTTTGGCGTCAAGGTGAAAATGTTTTCGTAAGTTAGCCCCATTGTCCCCCACTTCCCCTCCCGCCTTCTACTCGAGTAGGACTATCGATATCATTTCGGCTCTACCAGCTATTCCAAGTACGACGGTAACCCGAAAATCGCCCCGCCACTATCCCTTGATCGGCCTGAAACAGTCGTATATGTAGTCAGCCATGCTAAGACCAGATTTGGAAATGGTTAGTTGAACTTGGCCAGAAAATTTGATTTTGGGCTTTTCCAGTGCCCGAATGACTCTGCAAATCACAAGGCTATGTTGGCTCCAGGACAGGCTTAGCATCCTCGGCTAGGGATTTGGCGGTATAAGTATCAATCTCACCCAGGGGTATCAAAAACCGATGGCTTTGGGGCAATGGTACAAGGAAATTTCCGTCCCGGTGACTATGGATGGGGACGCGTTTGACCCCGAATTTCTAAAATCGATATAGGTGATTCCCAGAGGTAATTAAAACCGCCTATGCAATTTTGTGGGTTCAAATATTTTCGGGTGGTTCACGATTATTCCGAATAATCCTGTTCCATACGTGGGTTGGGGGGTTTTCGGTCTATTCTACTCATACGGGCTGCGTGTAATGCCATCAAAGTAGGAAAATAATAAATAAGTGAAACAAGCCGTTGAGAACTCTCCAATAACTTACAGGCAAGGGCTTTTCCCAGGTGTCATATTCCAGCAAATCTCTGTAGCGGGACGAATGCGGTAGTCGGTGGCCCTTTGCAACCTAAACAGGCAAAACGAAGTGAAAAAGAAACCTGTCAAGAACTCGCCCATAAAGAGTGAGGTTTTTTTTTGGGGGTATTTCAGCAAATGGTGGTATACCTTATCATATTGTCTTATCCACTTTTCTCGCAAGGAACGGAGTTTAAGGTTGAAGCGAAGGGAAAATCTGAAATCTGCCCCTTTAGCCCTTTTACCAAGCCCAGAATCACCAAATTGAATTAAGAATGAACTATCCCCTCCCCCCAAAACAAGATCAGGCAGCCGTGGAAACTGCTTTGTTAAACCATTCAGTATTTGCTCTTCATTCCCATGAACCATTTTCTGACCAAGCGAATACTGGGGAAGAATTATGCTGTTGGTTAATAGCTGTACTCAAGTTAAGGTAAATTATCTTTGGTTCCGGGCACTACAAAACAACATCCGTGGTCCTGTGTTACCCCAACCGAAAGTTTAATCAATCCCCCTGAATATCGAGCAATCATGTGTGTATGTGGTGGAGCATCTGTGTATACAGATCCATGTACATGCAGGGTGATTTGTCTTGGCTCACGGGGCGGGGCATGATGTCTGTGTACATGAAGGTAAGCAGTTATATGGCCTCCCTGTTATCTGCCTAGATTGCGAGTAAATAGCGATTAAGCGACAACAAGAAAAGAAAGGAAACAAGAGATATATAGGAAATAAGTGACAAGATTAAAGCAATTACCGAAAGGGAACAGGAGTAGAGAAAGGTAAAAAGATATTACTAGTAGATCTCAAGGGGGTGATAAAAGAAGATAGAGGAGAAGAGGAAACCCAGATATCTCGGGTCGGAACATATGTCCAGCAGTGAGACTTATCACTTTGTAGGTAGACATGAAATTCGGCGTCCTGAATTGATATTTATCACGATAAATTCGGAACTTGTGAAGACACTGGAGGTGGAAGGCACGAACTGTGCTATCCTGAACTGGCCCAAGAGCATGAGGAATCCCCCGGCGAAGAGTAACTAAGCTGTACGGTCGCACCCGCTAAAATAAGGCCAAACATCACCTCTATCTTTCCGTAATAGCAGGTATTTCGGTCTAATAGTTGTCTAAAGCAATCCCGAGACCATGATTAAGCAATGGTGAAGGATTTCAAGCAAAAAGCTGGGCACAGGAGAAGCGATGGAGGCGACATCAGGCCATTGCCTCCCATATCACCATGCCATGTGGTAAGATGTGGGACCAGGCTGGACAGGCTTGATTAAAGCTAAACAGAATTCAGCAATGCTAGCTATGGTGTCACCAGCGGCGAAAAGAGACCATGGAGAGCAGAACCGCCGCAATACCTGCCTCCATTGATACAACCCTCAATCCCTAAATCTCTATCACTAACAGCATGGTTATAGTTACACCAAGTATGTGCGAACCCGTTTTATCAACCACCAGCTGTATTTTATAACAGATTAAGTTTGTGTGGGGGCGGGGGTACTGTATCTTAAAACTGATTTCGAGTTCAGTATCTAACATGATTCGTTATGATGGAAAGAGAGAATTCATATAGGGGATTCAAACTCCCTGGCTATTTTTTTGTAATAGCAGCTTTTCAAATATATACGAGTTTATTATAGAGTGCTGCGACTGTACTCACGTCATTGCATGTGCAACGTTCAGAGCAACACTAGTGATAGTGCTGTTAGACGCAGTTTCCATCATCATCAGATCTCACTCGATTTAAGTTCTGGAAAAATCTAACATTAGGTATCTGTTCTTCATTTACTTGGAGCTAGTTCTCTCATACTCACTAATACATACACAACCCAATATACTCTCATCTCATTACGACACGGACAATTGATGTTTTAATTCGCCTTCCTGCTATACAAATATGAGTGGCTTGATGGCATCCCAGGGCGCGCCTCTTAAGTTATTTTCCCTATTACATCTATTGATACCTATTCCTATTAAATATTAAAGGTACCCACAGGTGGAATAGTCCTCATTTGTTGGGCTGGACCACAATGGTGTTAGTAAATGTTAGCGTTTTTGTTGTCAAGGCGATGGTTTGTAGCGCACTGAAGCCCAATATGGTACCGGTTACTGCTCTAGTATGTGGTATTTAAGTAGCGTACCGGTATCTAGCACGATGAATTTAAGTATGTCAGACAACCGTGATACCCACCAACTTTGTCTGGCGCGGTAACCAACCAAGAGTGATTGTGCACACCCACCCAGATTGTATTGGGGACCTAAGCCAACTTTCTAACTGGGGGTATAGACACTTCCACGAAGTTCTGATACTCTTCCAAGTACCACCGGAACTTGAAAACACCCAATTAACAGCACTCCTTATCATTACTTAAAACAAATTGTAATAAATGTTTCCAATATCCTTAGAGGCATACCCGAGAATTGTTATCTGAAAGGCTCTCGCTGGTTCC